TTATTTTTTTTATTAAACTTTTAATTCAGATAGTTTAATAAAACTATAACTAGTCTATTGATATATTGAGTCAATCTGATATCTTTTTCTTTCAGTCTAATCTAGTAGTCTGGTAATACTTTTGAGATTTTCAATTAAGAGATTTTTGTTTATCTAGTTATTTCAGTATTAGTATCTATTTTTTAGATCTAGTTTTTTATAATAGTAATATTAAAGATTTATATTATTTTTTTACTTAGATCTTCTTAAATAGGCTTCTTGTTTTCTAATTTTTATAAATTTATATAATAATAAGAACTTATTTTAGGTTTGCACTATCTAATTCTGGTTTGCATTTCTTTATATAACTAGTTATATAAATGCTTCATAATCTGCCAGTCATACTAATATGATTATAATTACAAGTATCTTAATTTAATTAGTAAAAACAATTGCTATAATACAAAATTATATAAGTAATTATTCAAATTTTTACTATTAGTAGGTTTTGAACTTACAACTTATCATTTAGAAGGTTGACAACTTATTTATTTTACTAAATTATCACATTTTTTATTAGATTATTATAATTATTTATTAACTCTTTATAAAGATATAATAAATAATAATAAAAAAAATATATATAAGTTATTAATTTCTAAAATAACAAATTGAAAGTTTAAAATTTATCAAAAACAAAATTTAGAAAAATACATTTATATTATAACAATAACATTCTATTGATCAATTAGGATAAGATATTTGTAATTACAGTTATACTAGCATAACTAGTAAGTTAAAAGACATTTGTGTAATCTTAATTATATAAAGAAATGCAAACTAGTATCAAGTAGTACAAATTTATGATAAGTCTTTGTAGCTATATAAATTTATAAAACTAAAAAAACTAAAACTTATTTGAAAAGATTTAAGTAAAAAAATAATACAGATAGGGGATAAGGTTTTGTAATCTAGTAGTCTAGGCACTCCTTTTTCTACAGACAAGGTCAATAGTTTAATTCTAGCTAAAAGCAAAAACTCTGTAATCTACAGAAGCATATGAATGTACATGAAGCCCTGTGACTAAGTTTATGTAAATAGAAGATTAGTATATAAGGAAGTTTTCAAAAAGAAGTTTCTTAATATAAAGAGTTGGCACTTGATGCAAGAGAAATGATAGACATACCAGAAATGAAGAAAAGGCACACTAGTGAGTGATATAGTAAACATAAAAGAAAAACTATAGAAAAGAAATAAACTTACTAAAATTCAAACACTTTTAGTATTAAAACCAGTTTAGTAGATATGGATTACACTAAGTTGAATCTAAGTGGTAATCTTGGTATCAGCTTAGTAAGCTTGCGTCGAGGGTGAATTGAGGATTATGAATACTTAATAACATTCAATAGAGTAGTATCTTGATATAAATAGTAACTAAGTAGCCCTAATCTGATATGTCAATACAATAATAATGTAAGGATTGCATATATATATAATAGTGTTGAAAATTAGAAACTTTAAATAGGAAACTCACAGATGAGTTTCAAGTATAGTAATTAGTAGATAACCTGCAGGCAGAGCCTTTAAATAGACAATGACTAAAGTTGTATATATGGCTAATTGTAGCCTCATTGATAGACTTTGTATATAATGATATAATCATATATATTATTTAATAAAAGATATACAGACAAGATTACTACTTCAAAGTAAAAAAAAAAAGTAATACAAATCTTTGATAATACTATTATAAAGTTTAAACTTAGAAAACAAATACTAATATGAAGAAATCAAGTAGATAAGAATTTTAAATAAGAGGTATTATTAACTAAACTGTTAAATATTTTGAACTAAAAAAAAAAATATTAGATCAGACTTAGTATACCAAAGACATGTTATAGTTTTACTAGTTTATTTGAATTAAAGTTCAAATAACAAAGCAGAAGTATACTATAAGTACTAGAAATATATTATAAAGTTGGTACTAAAGTTTGAGTAAACTTTTTTTTTGTTTTTTTTTTAAGATAATCTCTTTGGTCTTTTGGCTTTTTATTAATGTCTTTTTTAATAATATAATTCAATAAACTATTACAGAAGAGTGTATAATTAGTTATACATATTGTATCCTAAATAATAATCAGTCTAATTGTCAATCAGGATAGCTCAGATAACAATTTGATTTTGGACTATTGATCTTGTCTTATATGCAAATTGCAGATTATATTTATATTTTTAGAAGTAATAAGTAATAATTAATTAACAATTAGTTTAAATGTTTTAATATAATAAATTTATTATAATAAATTTTTTAAAAAAATTTTATTATAAAGTTTAGTATAAACTAATTTTATAAAAAAATTTTGAAAACTTCTAAGTACTACTAATTTATTATAAAATTTACTATAAAATTAATTTATTATAAAGTTAACTTTACTATAAAATTTACTATAAAATTAATTTATTATAAAGTTAACTTTACTATAAAATTAACTTTATAAAATTATATTATAAATACATATTTATAATAAAAAAAATTTTACATAATAGCATATTAGTTAGAGTTTAAAAATTAACTATAAAAAAATTTTTTTTATATTTTTTTTCTAATGAATTCATTTAATTACTATATTTATTTATTATATTAAACATTTAATAAAATTACAAATGAATACTTATTATTATTAAATAAAAAAGATCAAAAGCATTAATTAGAGAGAATATTGCTAATGAATATTTGCAGATTTTAAATAATTCTAAAAATACTTCTATTACAAATTCTAATATATAATACTATATTAAAAATAACTATTTATCTCAAAGGATTGGTGAAATTATAGTATTAATGCATAAAGAAAAATTGTCAAATAATTGGAAACCTGTAGCTTTAAAAAAGAGATTATATTATATTATTGCAGAGAAGCATTTGACTGTTAAACACAAAGTGCAAAAACTACTTATAAACAAATATCAGATAAATATTATAATATAAAAAGATGCTTAATTAATAAATTTATTAAAATGTGTAAAACATGTAAAACACACAAATTATCTAGCAAACTTTTAATTATAAAATTTATTATTATCAAATTCTTTATATAACAGCTTTAGGCATGAAATAACTTTTTTTTTAAAAAAAACAGTTTTTTTTTTAATTATTAAAAAAAAAAATTAATAAATAATTTTTTTTTTACTAAATTGATCTTATTGATATATAAACTAGAAAAAATGATAAAATTAAATAAATAGCATATATTAAAGATTATTTCTCATATTTTTTTTAGATCACATTCTTACTAATAAATGTGCAACAAAGATGGCTATGTTCTTGTTTAACATCTTTACTATATTTGGACTACTAATCTTTCTTTAAAGTAATAATAAGTATGAGTTTACTGCAAATATTATTAACAATTTCTCAAAACTCTGACCAAATTTTAAAATAATTTATAAAAAGTCAAGAAGGCTGCAAACTCAAAATTCTATAAAAAAAACAAATTTTGTATTAAAAAACAAACTTAAAAAATGGCTTAAGGATTGATAAAATAAAAATAATAATTTATATTGAACAGTTGGCTTGACAACTATAATTTATTTAATGAATTTATCTATATATCATGTTAATAATAAAAGACTATTTGAGTTAGTTTTTGGTTATAAGTCTCATAGCAATTGTGTTCTTTTAAATCAGCTTTGGTCTTAAGGAATTTGATATAAAAAAAATATTTCTGATGACATTAAAATTGAAAACTATAATAATATTCAGTTTGATAATAATAAAGATAACATCCAGACTGAAAATAATGAATATAAGAATGAAAATGAATTTAATAAATATTAGATTTAAAATTAATTATCAAATAAGAATAATAATAATATATTTTTTATAATAAGAATTAATTTTATTTAAAAAGATAGAAATTAAATAAATCTCAAATTTTTTCTTTGTATTTTAGAATTTCTTATTATCTAATTGTATGTTACAATATATGATAAGTATAAAAATCTTAAAATTGAAGCATTAAAGTTTTGAAATATGAAATTATCACTACTATCTAACATAATATTTTTTGGGGATTGATATTTTCACACACCTTTTTTGATATTTCCACACTCCCTGCTAAAAAAAATCTATATTTGGTAAGATCAACATATATAAAGTTACATATTAGAATTGACTTGCATAATATGATTAATATGCATATAATAAACATATATATATATATACCTAATAGTTATACAATACATATAATATATACTGATAGTTACACAGCACAGTATATATAACATATACTGATAATTACACAGTATATATAATGATGCTGATAGTTACACAATATATAATGTATGCATTGTATATAATACATATAGATGTAGATCGTGTTTAAAGACACAACTCTTAAATGAATTTAACCCAAATAAGAATCTGAAATTCATAATACTTGTAGTAATTTATGTCATAGGGTCTTGATGCATCTCATGAAAAATTATACAAACATTGAAATATTATCTAACTTAAATAAAAAGAATGCAATTCAATAGCGATTAGTGATTTTTTCCTTTATGTTAGTATATTCAGTATATTACTTATCATTAAGTGTATCATATGCATAATTGTTTTAAAGAATTATTAGAAATTAACAACAAAAGGTGCAGTTAGTAAAAGTACACAAAAGGGATCATTAATAACTATGTTTAAGACTTACCTGTGTATTTGTAAGGATAAATAAATGTCTGATCTATTTATTGAAAAAACATTTGTAAAATTTAACTGTTATTGTTTTTTAACAAATCATGAGAAAAGCAATTTAATTTACATATTATTATTTCATTCAGATGTTTTATCAAAAAAAACAATAAAATGCAAAGTTTTATTTAAAACTTGCATACAATAAATGTTTAAGACATATGATAAATGTTTAAGACTTAATAATAACCTCTGATTAATTTTACTACTATTTTTGAAGCTAAATTTCAATTTGCACTAAATTACATATTTATCTATCCTATTAATCATTATATTATTAACTACTATCAGAACAAGTCCTACTATTATGTCCGATATTGTGACATATACCACACTTTTTAGCTGTTGTCTTCAATTCTTCTCTCTCAAAGACTGAAGAAATTCTCTGAGTAGATGATTGGGCATCATTTTGTGATTCGGTTAGTCGTTCTCTAGTACATGTAATAGTTGGTTCTAAAAGAAGCAGTGGGGGTTCTTGAATCATTTTTAAGAGCTTAGCTCGAGCCTTTTCTTGTTGTAGAACAAGCCAGAAATCATATTTTTGATGAAATTCTTTGAGTACTTGTTCAATCTGATCATTCTCTATCTCCAAACTTTGTTCTTTTTTGATCCACCAGTGTTTATAGATGTCACAAAAACTTAATGATTGACAGGTCGCAAAACGTTCTTTAATTATGTGGGCACATAATAGACCCATCATTGAGCTAAAGATGCCAGTGCAAGGTGGTAAAGGATTTGTAGAGGTTGATATTGATGCTTTTATAAATTGCTTATGTAGTTTACTTAGTGCAAATAATGAGACTTTAGTAACTAGTTCATAGTAAAATGGAGAATTTTGTTCATGCAGAACTCATGCTTTTTTCTTAGCAATCTTTGCCTTAATTTCATTGTACTGATTTTCAAGTAGAAGCAAGATTTTTTCATATACCATGCTTAAGTTACCCATTGAAATCTAAATATATTGTTTTAATATCAAATGCGCACCTTCGACCCTTGAAGTTACAGTATTATCTAGGTGAAGATACCTATTAATTCACACATTTATGAATTGATCCTTATATGGCAGCTATGCATTTTCAAGATAGGTTATAGTAGTTAAATTTTCACCATAACTTAGTTTTAGTTTTTGTCACTTAATTATAAAGTTCTTCTCAGTTTCTGATCTTACAATTTCAGTCCAGCATTGAAGAAATTCTTTCCATTCTTCCTTAGTATCAAAATTTTTTTTATACTTGCTTACAATATTTTTTTCAATATGCTATAGACAAATCAAATTTTTTGATTTAGAAAAAACATGCTCTAGCATGTTTATAAGTGCCAATTCCCTGTCAGTAATAACAACCTTAGGCTTATCAGTTCCATTAAATATATGAGATACTCGTGTGAGCACCTATACATAATCATCTTTATTTTCATTTTTAAGAAAAATAAAGCATGAAAAAAAGGTTGTGTTAAAGCATGTTATCCTGACGACATTAAGTAGTGGCATCCTGAATTTATTTATTTTATATATACAATTGAGTAACAATACTAAACAATAAGTTTAAGTTAATTCAACAGACTTGTGGTGAGTGAAAAAAAGGTGTGTTATATGCCTGTCCATGTCACATATATAATCATACATAAAGGAACCCCCTTTAAGATCATCTAGAAGTGCTTTAATAGGTGTTCATCTCTGAAGGTATTCACGGTGAAGTTTTTCATGTGCATTATAAATATCCTGTAATGCTACAATAGAACCACTCTGATTAAAGGAAGACACAATTTGTCGAGAGTGAACACTAGCTTTTGACATAGTGTTTAACCTTTCTAAAGATTGATTATCTAACCTCCTAAATGATGGATGAGCTAACAGATTATTGGATGGTTCATGATTATAATTTGGGTTATTAATAGACAACACCTATAAGTTATTAGACCCTTTCTTTCCAAAAAGAGAAAAAGAATAATCAGTAAGCCTAGTGCCAGTACTTCTGCAGTGTGTTTCATTAGTTAGATCAAGTCTATTTCAATATTTGCCTTCCTGATCACATGTTAAATATACCACATTTGACTTTGATCTTGCAATTGACACTTCATATACATTCATGGCACCAAATGTTCAAACGTGTTTTATAAGTGCATTATGGCTAGGAAATTCTCCAACAGGAGGAACAAGCATAACTATTGAATATATGTTTATAAATTATTAAAGAAATGCAGATAGATGTTAATGTATTTTCATTGTTTCACATTGTTCTGTTTAAACATATGTCTCTAACCACTTTTTTTTACATACTTCACATTCAATATATGAATAATATATACTTTATACATTTAAACAGGTTCTAGTAAGTAGATATATTGTGTTGTATTAATATAAAATTTGTACTGGTCTCTTATATACTATGTACTGCACAAGTATTGTTTTTTTTGCTAAACCATTTCAAGTTAAAAGATTATTCTATTTATTTGTTTTTTCATTTAATATTACTTTGATCATGATGTAATTATTTGTACTACATTTATTTATTATTTATTAACTTCTATACTATATTATACTTATGCTTATCTGTCATAACTTTATTACTATAATTATGATCTATAGTTATTATTCCCTGATTAAATCTGATTGGCAATTACTAAAATATGTCGACAAAAATAAATTTAAAGATAATTGAGTGCCTAAAGATATAATATTGTAAGCAGATCAAAATTTTATTTCAGAATTGTTTGGTTTAAAAATTTTACTCTTGTAAATGTAACAATAAATTTCTTTAGGCTTTAAGCTTTATAATTCTCTTAAAAATTCTCGTACAATATTCAACTATGAATGGAAGTCTTTTAAAAAGTGCTTACAGATTTATTAAATCTATCGTGATATTTTGCATATGCAGTATTAGCCCATTTTCACCAACAGTTTATTATCAAAAGAATTCTCTGTTAAATATTACTTATCTTTTATATGTTAAATTACCAGAAGGTAAGTATAGTTCATTTATAAAATAATGTACATATTTTATCATTAAAAGAATTCTGTATTAAATATTAATTCTCTGTTCATACATATTAAATAAATACCACAATCATTGCTACAAATATTTTAGATCAATTATTTCATCCTCAAGTTCTCACTCGCATTATATGCAAGCATTCTCATGAGATTGAAAATTTCTTTAAACATTCAAAAATTCTTAAAGAATTTGAAATGAGTATAAATTTCTCTGTTTATATGCACTAAATTACTAAGGAGTATAGTTTATGCATAAACCGATGTACACATTTTATCATCAAAAGGTATTGCTTTATAGCTTTCTTCAGTGAGTTGCATTATTATTCTGGGCTTTATGTAGTACCAATAACTTAATGTAATGGCTGTATAGTGCTGATAACTTAATGTAATGGCTTTTATATTTCTAAATTCAAGTGAAATAAATGAGAAGTATTACTTTATATCTTCATTAAATCTTACTTCTCAATTCATATTAAATTACTAGGTAGTAATTATAGTTTATTCATGGCAATGTATATGTTATGCATCAGATTAAAATTTGCATCAAATTAAAACTTAAATGTAGAGTTTTTTTAGGGTTAGGGTGGATGTCTATATTAGGTGTTAGTGGAATTATAATGATTTTAACCAGATACAGATTTTAATTTAACGCACAACATATACATTTATCATTAATTAGGATGTGACCCTTTATCCACTTTTCTATTTAAAATTTAATCTAGATATTCGCTGATACATATTAGTACTTAATTTAATTGTTTCAACAATTAATATGTACATATAAAATTTTAGTACATATGAAATTTTAATATATGTAATGTGTAATCGGTATATGTTACATATATACCAGTAACCATCAGTATATATTATATGTATTGTATAACTATTGGGCATATACGTATATATATTTATTAAATGCATGTCAATCCTATTATGCATATCGATCCTAATATATAATATTATGCGCATTGATCTTACCAAATATAGAATTTTTTTAGCAGGAGGTGTAGAAATATCAAAAAAGAGGTGTAGAAATATCAGTCCCCTATTTTTTAATAATAAAAAAATCAAGTTTATTGTTATTATTATTATCTAATATGATAGTAAATATTAGAATTAATGAATATATAATTATAATTAAGAGATTATTTATATTTCAATAAAAAAAAAATCAGGATTTGTTGTCACTACTGCCATCTTAAATAATGGCAAATATTAGAATTTATAAATATATAATTGTAATAAAGAAATTATTTTTATTTCAACAAAAAAAAAATTTAGAGTTCATTATTGTTACTGCTACTACTTAATATAATAAATATTAGAATTAATAAATATATAATTGTAATTAAGAGAATAGTAATCCTAGTATAGTAGTTGGGTTGTTATTCTCTAAGTGACAGGTCTAAGGTTCAAATCTCATCTATAATGAAATTTGAAAATTATATTTGCATTACAGTAACTGTCTTCTGTCGATCAGTTGGCCTTATATGGCTGTTACCCAGATACACCAAGTTAGGTCTGATATTGGGAGCTTAGGCATCTATATAAAGTATAATGTTACATATATATAGAGGAATGTATTACCAGTGTTGCATAAGACTTCAGTGCAAACCCATAATAAGACCATTAGACATAGAAGACTAAAGAACTGAGATGATGGAAACTTATTTTGAAATTTCTAAGTAAAGAGGTAGCATGAACTTTCAATAATACCATCAGACTGGTTGAAGCCTATGAAACATCTTCATAGGAATCAAAGATTAAAACTGGACATCAAATATATATAGAGAAGAACATAACCAACTAGGCTGCCAAATTCATCAGAGAAAAAGAATACAGAAGTATACTATACTAGGCCATCTAAATTGGTAGTCTGAAATAAAACTGACAGTTCTGAGTTGTGGCTAGTAGGGAATAATGAAGAAGATGCCAGAAAGATAAGTATTGGGATTTTAGTGAACTTTACAAGAATAGAAATAATGTAACATAGTGATTAAACAGGTAACTTCTATGATTGCAAGTGTTAGATAACTATAACATGTTGCATAAAATTAGGTTTATATATGTAGAACATAAAGACTCTAGTAAGTTTTCTATCAAGGATAAAGTAGTCCTAAAGGTAACAATAAGCATTAGGAACTTGAATAGGTGTAGCCTTAAGATGTTTTTATGATACAAGAAGGATTGCATATGCAGAGAGTTTAAATAGACAAAACCCCTAGTTGGCTTGCAGGTATGGCAACTAGTGTAGAACTTATATAGCAATATGTAAGCAGACTACTTAAATTAGGCACCAAAAGTGCATGTGTGACTAGTTGTAATCTCTAATATAAAAAAGCCTTTGGAGGCTCCTATTTCTTAATATACTTGAATAAAAACATTATATCTCTTAAGATAAGGACTTTAACTAAAAAAAAAAAAAAAACAAATATTAGCTTAATTTATAGATTTAATATTTTTTGACTACTATAAATAAGTGCCTAGAGGTATCTGTTATACTAGTGCAAGTTTAAACTTGCTGCTAAAAGGCTATTCAGGCTAGCCTTTAAGACTGTTTCAGTAAGGTCTTCTATTATTACTAATTAACTTTTTTATTGCCTTTTTCTATACATTTTTTATTTTATTTTTTTTTTTCTTCTTTTAAGTTTTTTATCTCTTGATTTTGATAATGCTTTATATGATAATGTAGTTTGTTTATTATCTGTTATTATTTTTTTTGTTTTTTTCTTTTTAAATTTGTGTTAATGCCTTGACTTTTTTTCTATTCAGCTATCTTATAAAATCTTTCTCTCCAAACTGTTTTATAAAACTCATTTTAAATTATACTTGTAGCACTTATTATAAAGCTTTTGGTTTTTGTATTAAAACTAAACAGTCTTGTATTCTTCTTGCTATTTTTTTTTAAATGAGACCTTTTATAATTTTTTTTCTTATTTTTATTCTTTCTTCTTTTGTTTGGCCTTATATTTCTTTTTTTAATAGTCTTAGTAGTATTCTTTTTTGTATCTTCTAATAGCATAATCCATATTATCTCTATTACTAAAGCTTTTGTTTTTGTTTATAAATTTTTGTAGATCAAACATTCTGTTAAATAATCTTGATCCTTTTCCTTGTCTTCTTTACAAAATATACAATTTAAGCTAGTATATAGGTTTGAACATCATATTTTAAGTTTTTTAAATATTGGCATCTTTTCTTGTATGCATTTAAGAAGTGTACTAAGTCTTTTGCTTTCTTATATTGAAATATATTGTATTTCATATTGGTTTTTAATTGTTTTCATAATAAAGCCTAACAGTGTTCACCAGTATTAAATTCTAGTTCTAGCTTTTTAAATGCTATTAAACAGCTCTAATTTGCACTATTTTTGATGTTAAGAATCTCTTTGATAAAATCTTTTGTTGGGCTTTTTACTATTCTATTTTTTTAACAAAGTGATATATTTAATCTTAAAACTGAACTATCTATAATGTTCTCCAAATTTTGCAAGTTTGCTTCTTGCTTAGCTAAGCTATCTGCTCTATTATTTTATCTATTAGTACTGTCTTTTTACTTTTATTAATTTTAAACCTATTTCTTTTACTTTTTTAATTTCTTCTATACTTTCTAGCAAGTTGTAATTTTTTCTTTTTATTTTTTATCTATTGGTTATATAATGTATACTACTTTCTATACTTAATATAGTTGCTGTACTGTCTGTATATATTTTAACTTTCTTTTTATTTGATACTATAAGCATTATACACCAGATTGCTAGTAACTCTGCTTTGGTCAAAGAAGGCCATTCTTTTGCTCCAATAGCTTCTTTATTAATAATATATTCTTTTTTACTATCTACTTGTAGCCATCTTGCTTCTATATTATCTTCATTTTATATACCTTTTTCTGCTTTTATTATTGATTCATTAGTGTAGAAAATTAGTTCTTTTTGCTTATTTTCTTGACAATACAAATTTTTTTCAATTAGCATTTTAATAAGCTTGTTACTAATTTTTTGTTTTTTTATTAAATATATTTCTTTGTTTTCTATTTTAACTTTATCCACCTATCTTTCTATTTTTGTAACTTCTATTCTCTTATTTTATGAAAAAAGTTCTATCATGTTTGTATTTATTTCTAGTTGCCATGTTTCTTTTTTGCTAACATATTTAGAAATAGATTTCTGA